CCATCTTCTTGCTGCTCTCGTGTGCGTGGTGCGCGTACAGACTGCTCAACGCAACCGTGCCGGCAGCCGCCAGAGCGGCAGAGCTGTGCTCACCGGTTACAGGAATTCTCGCTGTTTTGTCTTGGTGGTCTTCGTTTTGGTTGTAATCAGGAAGGGACTTCTTGACTTGCTCGGAAAGGTTCGTTCTAGTCAAGACAACTGTGTCGTCGGGGAAGCTCACGAAGGAAGAAAGATTTTGGATGTGCTGGTTCTCCTTCTCTTCGTTTGCTCGATCAACAACAGTGACGTGGTACTGAGGGTTGCTACTGCCGCTAAGGCCAAGCAAGAACTCACTGACATCGATGTTTTGTGGTCGGGCATATCCAAACTCCTGGAAGAATGCAATGAGAGACTTCGCCGAGCCATAGAACACCGTGTCACCGCCCTCCGTAATCAGCACGTTCTCAAAGCCACCTGATAGCTTAGGCGATTTCTTCAGCAAGGAGGTGAGAACTTGCGTATTTGTGACGTCTGAAACCTTCTTGTCCTCGCTGGCCACTTCATCGATCATCAAGACGCGCTTGTACTGTCCGAACTCAAGACCAAAGTCATGAAGAGCAAGCTCGGGGAACTCAACCGACAACGTTTGGGACACATTCCAAGCTGCTTGCTTTTCATCCCACGAGCCACTTTCATATAGGTTTTCGCTGAAGCTTGCGAAACTCTTCGAACAGAACTCACGTGAAAGCTCACGCACCTCGGTAGAGGGAACACTCTCGATGTCCACTCCCATCTTCTCACAAAATCTCACGAATTGCGCCAACCACGGCCATCGAAACGAAGCCACCTTTATCTTGCGCATTTTCGAATCTTCTTTACTCTGGCCAGCAAGACTCAGAACAACAAGCGTGGACTGGTTCGTCAATTTCTCCTTGACCGATTGTTCAGATGAAATATGATCACACGCCACCGATCCCACGTCCTCGTTCGTCACCGTCTCCGTCACTCCAGTCGTCTCAGTCGAGCCGACATCGGTGTGGCCAATCTTCGAACGGGTGGCATGCACAGCTGAGCCGATCACACCGCCGG